TAATTTTGATTATCAACTTGGCAAGATCTGGAATCACCTAAGAGACAAGTCTCCAAATTCCCTGCTTATTCAGAATCCATTTGCCTCTGAACAGTCCCATGTGGGATTATGTTGATTTTCAGCTAAAGGAAGTGGGATGACCAGACCTAAATGTGGGCCACACCATTGCCTGGGCAGCAAGGTCCTAGATTGTATGAGAAAAGAGAAAGCAGGCTGAGTAGAAGCATTCCTCTCCTCTGCTTCCGACTGAATGTAATGTGACCGGCTGCCGCAAGTGCCTTCACCCTTTCTTCTTTAAGTTGCTTTTCTCAGATACTGAATCACAGCTGCAGGAATCATAGTTATGGGAAAAGCAACAACCCAAGATGCAGACAAGGAAGAATCACATCTTTACTGGCTACTCTTCATAAAAACATGTCTGGAACATAAGTCCCCTATAAATATCTTGTTACAATAGTCATAATAGGGGAAATTATTAACTATTATTTTTCATAATTATTTCTTTTTTTAAATTAAGCTCCAGCTTATGGGGTCAATGTAGTACTGGCAAGAATGGTCATTTTGAAGCTTACCTATGATTTTTCCTCAAAAAGACAACTAAAAATGTAAAACAAACTTCTAGTGGCTTAAAGAGGGAAAATCCGATTTGCACTACAACAAACACAAGTACCCCAAATCCCATATGCTTGGGAACTGTACTTTTAAAGACCTTATCTGGGACTGGACAAGTTCAAAACCCACTGATCTTGGCCTGTTGCACAAACCACACCACAAAATTCTTACAATTCTTCTAGAAACCTGTCTGCCAAATGACATACTGTTTCCTTGTCCTGAGGTGTTCGCCTTTGAACTTAACCTCTCAAGTGTTTACAATTATAAAATCTTCACTTCAGTGCTAGCTTAAAACTGTTTAATCATTCATGTGTTCAGTATTTTTTCATCAACAATGCTAGAAAAGAGAAAGCAACTTGTTTTCCTACTCAATTTCCTCAATAAAAGAAAAAACTAAAATCAAGTCTCATGTTTTTGTTTTTTTGTTGTTGTTGTTTGTTTGTCTGCTTATTTTTTGAGACAATGTCTCTTTGTAGCCCCAGCTGGCCTGGAACTCTCTGTGTCGACCAGGTTGGCCTTGCTCTCCCATAGATCTGTCTGCCTCTGCCTCCTGAGTACTGGGAATAAAGGCCAGAAGCACTATACCCAGCTGGCTCATGTTTTTAAATACCAGGTTCATATGTGGTCTCCTCAGGAGACAAACTGCACCAAGTTAAAAAGGTTAAAATTCAAGCCAGTCCCTTTTCATAAGCAGGAAGAAACTGAAAGTGTCAAAAAAGACATATGCATGATATAAGTGTATTCATTTTATATCACAAAAAGGTCATTAAGAAATCTGCCCAACCTGTCTACAAACAGGATGAAAAGGGACTGTGGCAGAGCAGAGAAGCCTGGCCTGTAGCTTAATTATCACCAGTTACTCATACAGATGGTGACATTCGCCAACATCTGAAACTGAATCTTCCACAACAATCTTTCAACCCTCCAGGTTCCTGATCCCACAGTGGATCTTTTACAACCCAGAGTCACCATTGCATCCAGCTTCCTGGGCAGCACTGTGCATGAGTGGCCTCCTTTTCTTAATGATTCTCAAATACCATGTGTTGGCATTTTTTTTTCTTTTGTATTTCTATAAGGTTGTTAATTTAGAAACATCATTTTTTAAAAAAATTAAGTTAGGCTCTGCCTCAACTGCAAAATGAAACAAAAACAAACAGTGACCGCAGAGTAGAGAAGGGATTTGCTCCAAGAGTTCATCTGTCATCACAGTCCCATCTGGACTTAAGTGATCGCAGTAAACCCACTCTACCCAAGGAAATAAGGCACAGCAGTACAGGAGGGCTGGGACTGTCCTGAGCAGCAGAGCCAAAACAGACCCAACACATTTCATTGCCTCAGCATCTAAACCATCTTTATGAGCCTTTATCTAGTTCAAAGAAGTTCAACAAACATCCCTATCGATTCTCCTAAAATAAGTCAGCTTTAAGCAGGAATTGTGAGATTCCTTTGAAAATGAAAAACGTCTCCTTTTTTAGACAGTTTGATGACCAAATGCTACCTAGAAAATCTAAATCCTACCACTGAGTAATGGAGATTTGTTGACATCAAACCTCCAGAGAAGGTGGCAGACAGCACCAGTTGCTGAGGCAAAAGCTGTTCAGCACTGAGCAGTTAAATTTTTTAAAAAGGAGGTGGGCCTCTGGTAGTCACATACGCCTTGCTACTCATTAGATGTGTGATTCAGACAAGTCACTCACTTCACCTGCAGAAAGCAGATAAAAGCAACTCCTGGCTCTTAGCAGAGTAAATAGAAAGTGCAGTGAGCTGTCTGGAAACATGCTGTTCACAGAGCCAGCCCTTAGCCTCCACGGTAACTGACTATGAACCAGAAAACCCTTCTCTGAGTGCACTTATCCACTTCCTAGCCTGGATGCCCACACTGCATAAAATGAGTGTTTTTCTTGGATGAATCATGACTTTGCAAAGTTTCAGAGTCTCCATCTTGACTATCAGTTCTCATCACATCACACCAAGAGCCAGGAAAATGGCAAAAATCAACAAGAGCAGAGGGGAACTAACCCTAGGAAGTGTTTTCCTAAATCAATTCAAGATGCTAGGGGGGTTCTTATCCTTTATTTCTCCTTTCCGAAAGCACATATTGGAAAAACAAAACATCCAGCTTAGCTGGAGAGGCAGTTGACTTGGTTAGTTCATCTGACTCTAACATGGGAAAGTAAGAGCAAAGAGCACAGCTAATGATTTTTATAAGCAGTACACATTTAACATCTACAACTGTGGGGCTTTATAAGAGAAAACATTCACCAAAGAAATAGAAAACACAAAGAAAAAACCTAAAAAGTCACATCATGCCTAACAGAATTGCAGGCTGGTGTCTGTGAGGTGAGGCTTCTGGGGTGAGGAAGCCATGGACCTGCTTCCCAACCGCCCTGATTTCATGCAAACATACCTGTGCTGTGCCTGGGCCACGAGCACTCCCCACAGCACCACCTACTGTCCCACTGCTGTACCTACAGCAGCTCTACTACAGGACCCCAGGACTTCACACAAAACCTTCCTGTACCTAAGTATTTAAGAATAAAAAAGATGGTCACTTCAAAGTCAATGGGAGGGGTGGAGGTAGAATTGATAAAAAACTGACAATCATAAAATATCTAATGGAAAGCATAATCTAGTGGTTGCTGAACATGGCAAGTGAGTAGCTTTATTTTTTAACTAGAGTATAGATCCTGCTCTCGAGATGTAAAGGTCAAGTAAGAAAGATATGCTCTGACGAATATTCATACAGCAGATATGTCCATCGTTTGTTACAGTCCGGCATGGTGGGTGTTACCTAACTGCTGTGGCAAAGTGAGTTTTCAACTAGAAATTGAAAGTATTATTCTAAACCTAGAGAAGAAGGGCGTGGTCTGAAGATGGGTTTTATAGACCATCCATGGACAATGAGGCCCTTAGAAATAATCAGTTCCTATTATGAAATGCACCAGGCCAAGACTGGGTCCAGAACTGTGGTCTTGCCCTTACAGACGTGCCAAATCCCATGTACCAAATCATCCCTTTCCAGCCATTGAGTAAATACAGAGCCAGCTGAGTGTCGGTCTTATGTAAAACAACCCAACCTCAATTCTGATCTAAAATTAAATCACAGACTCAAAATAGACCATGATTTAAAAGATCTGGGATGAAAACGAACCATTTTTCCAAACATTAAAAAAAAAAAAAACATGTTTTGAAAACAAAAATAAAGATAATACTAGCTGATGTTTACCTACTGCTGTCTTCCGGGCACTATGCTAATAATGCCTTTACAGATTTTCAAATTCACAAAGTATTGCCATCTCTCTGTTCAATTCATGATTTTATGGTGTATATTCTAAAGCAACATTACAGATTAAATGTAGTTGGGTAAATCAATGGCATGTTACATCAACTCGGCCTTATGCTACGATAACTATGCTTCATACATACCTCACCTGAATGACCAGGTTTCAAAACCACAAAATAAGTGCAAAAGATCATAGGCACTTCACATGAGTTGAGGCGGTGGACGCTACTATCTTCCACTCCAACAGAGGAACCGGAAGTCATACTATTCACATTGCAAAAAATGCTGATTCTACTATCATATTCCTCTGCAAAATAAACTCGTTAGCAGCGCTCACAAGCCAGTCCTGCACTGTTGTCACAGATGTGTGCCAGATTTTGCACAGGACATAACTTGGCTGTGAGGGAAAACTCACAGTTTGTCTGAATCTCGGGCAGGAAAGAAGTCCATGGGGGCGGGGGTGGTGGTGGTGAATCAGACTAATAACCTGAAAGGGTTAAAAAAAGAAAAAAAGCCGGGTGCCAAATGGTTTTATTTCTACTTTGGAAGTAATCAAGCACCTAGCAAAGTTATCTTGGCTTCCTTCTCCACACGCCAGTCTGGGGAGACCTGTCATGGCCATTGACACAGTGTGGCTCCAGCCTTAACAAAAGGAGGGCAGCAGACTGGGCAGCGCAGGCACCTGGCTCCCGTGGCCTGCACGCGCACTGTCGCCAAGTTCAGGGCCCCACAGGTGATGACTGCACAAAATTTCAGAGCCTCGGAATCTGCATTCCCGCAGGAACTGGCAGCCGCGGCTCAGGATCCCATAGCGCCCACAGGATGCGCCCCGGAGGCGAGGGACCGTCATCCACCCTCTCCCCCCAGCAGCACGCGCGCCTACCGAGCAGCCTCACCGCGAACCCCCGGAGCGCAGTCGCTCGTAGAAGGGCCCCCACGCCGGCCGGCTCGGTCTGGGCCATCGGGGCTCCGAGGCCCGGCCGGGGCGAGCGGGCCCAGGGCGACGCAGCGGGAGCGGACCCGACTTCCCAGGTTCCCGGGCCGCGAGGACGGCAGCCGGACCCCGAGCCGCGCTCCCCGGCAGCCCACCACCGCCTCGGCTTACCTCGGCCGCGCTCGAGTCCCCGGGTTCCGCCGGCCGCGAGCCGGGGTGCGTGGGCCCCACGGGGGGACTGCAGGCCGGGTGCAGGCTGCAGGGCCGCCGGGTCCTCGCCGCGGGCTCCGAGCTGACCCAGCTGACCGAGCGGGACCGGGCCGAGGGGCCGCGGAGGGCTGGGCAGGCAGCGGCCCGCCTGCACGGAGCGGGAGGGCTCAGGCTGGAGAGCGAGGGAGAGAACTTGGTGGAGTTGCTGCGGCCGGGAGCCGGTGTCCCTGAGCGAGCGGGCACGCCCCCGAAGCGCCCCGCCCCATCCCACCTTCCGGGCCCAAGTGCAGCTACCCGGGTATCTCCGACACTCCCACCCCAGTTCAGTGCAGACCAGGCTGCTGTGGGTGCCCAGAGTCTGTGTGCGAACGTGGTAAGCCCACCCGATAGTCTCTTCTGATTAACTCTGCCTACTCCGAGGGGTCAAATAACTAGCTTTTCTTTGTTGGGAGGAAGGTTTTAGGAAGACTTCACTATGTTTATCAAAATAGCAGAATCTAAATAAGTATTCACAAAATACTATTCTCAAATATATTAAGGAAACTTTTTGCTCTTTTTGACCTTCAAGACATTTTTTAAAGAGTTATTTTTATTCTTTTAATTTATGTGTGTCTATGCCACGTTAAGTGCGGGTGCCCACCAAAGCTGGAGGTGTCCAGTCTCCCAGGAGCTAGAGTTACAGGCAATTGTGAGCCACCTAATGTGGGGGCTGGGAAGAGAACTCAGGTCCTCTGGAAGAGCAGCAAATGTTTACTTAACCACTGAGCCATCTCTCCAGCCACACCTTTAGTGCATTAGAAATGCATGGCATTTGTACCATTTTCTCTGATTTTAAAATCAATGTATTTAAATTGTGGAACTGTTGTTTCATTCTAGTTCAGAAATTATCAAATATATGAAACTCTGATTTCAATAATACGTTCCTGGCTGTTCACAAAAGTGCTGTTACTAAATGACATAATGCTGGGTTTTGAGTGGAACGTTGGCATGCAGATGAATTCCTTGTCAGCAGATTACATTGTGGCCTCCATTTCTACTCCAAAGGTCAGTGTAAGAGTGGAATGAAGCTACTTTTCATCACTGTCGTAGCAAATACAGCCAGCTTCATGCTTTTTACCCCCTTCTTGTTTGCCCCAATTCCTTCCTTTGAGAAATTGTCTCTTCCCAGTGTGTATGACTGGGACACAGACTCTCAACCAGGAGCCCCAGAACAGCCAGGTAAAATATATCCCATGCCCTGATGGGAGGTGGGGGGTCAGCGTGTAATCACGAAAAATTAAAGGTCTTTCTTCTAACCGATTTGCAGCGCCTGGGACCATGCCACCAAAGCCTGCAGCAGCTCGGCATTTCCCACTGGAAAACAAAACAGCAGCCAGAAGGAAGCTGCAGCGAGCAAGAGAGGTAGGAAGCACCCAGACATCAATGGTCCTCTCCACTGCTGTCTCTGAAACTCCTCACTCCTCATTTCTAAGGAAATGCACCAATGAGTTGCCTTTTTTGTTCGGACAGTTTTGAGACAGGCTTCCTTCAAATTCTGACTTAAAAAAAAAATGAAAGATTACCCAATGCTTTAAAAATCAGGTATATAATCAATAATTTATTGCCTAAATTATTTTTATAATATGAGTCACAGGAATAGAAGTTCTACATTTTAATAGGATTAAGGTTCACATTTAGGGAATTATTACTTCCCAATGTAAAATTAATACCCCCATACTGCCCTTCCTAAAACAAAAAAGAGATGTGATCAGAGACCCAGAGATAAGGAACAGCATACCTAAACCAGAACTTGCTATTTTCTGTCTTATCAGTTACTCAAATAGAATGTGATTTTACAATCCTCCATTTTTCTTTTTACTGATCTAGGGTTTTGTCTTAAGACAAAATCTCAAGACCTGCTGCAGACTTCTGGGGACTGTCTAGATTAATTGTGTAAACTGGAATTTTCTTGAACCGAGTATTGTTCAGAAGTGGTCCATTGGCCTATGCATGGAATTCTTTTGTTTCACAGAGTTTTGTCTCTGAAAGTATATGGCAACGTTTGGTTAGTACCCAGACAAGCATCCATACCTTCATCAGTGCATCACTTAGCCATTATTACTCCTGGGTATTATGAAGAGTAGATGCCGTTCTTTAGTATTAGACACATCCTCTGATGGAATTATTTCTTATGGGAAAATAATATGACATCCAAAAAAATGGGCATCAGGGTTCTCACAGTGTTTCTTCATATGAGTAAAAACCCAGTCTTTCAATCTCTAGTGACATTTCAAAACATAAAAATAGGGAGCTGAATGGTAACGTACTAGTGCAGATGTGCACCCCAGCAAAGGAGAGGGCAAGAAAGCAATCATAACAGCACCGTAGGAGGAATAGGTAGGAAAAATAAGCTCTAGAATCCCAGCTCAGAGTGGCACTTGGGCAAATGGTTTCTGATTCTCCAGGGAGAGTCTCATCCAAAAAGTATAGAGTTCCCTGCAACACCCATAGGCTAGGTCTCTATGAGGGCTGTGCTGTTAACTTGTACAGCTGGGATACAGCTATCTTTTATAATTATTAGGTCATGGTCAGACAGTCCCATTTATCCAGAACTCCCCCTAAAATCACAGTACATTTGGTGGTTTGGGGTGTGACACAGAATTACCTGGAGAGCTACTAACGGCACCAAGTCTCTGGATTAGGTGAAATGAGGTGTTTTTTTAACTTCTCCCAAGAGTTTGTGAGGCCTGTTCAGGCTTAATCTGTTCTCTTCATTCCACAGAAAAAGAATTGAGAAACCCTCAGTGCTCAGACCAGACTCCACTGACTTCAAATTGTATGTAAAATTAAAGTTATTGATTGAACATGCTCTTTTCTCTTTAAGAGGTCGTAGGAAAAGGAGAGGTATGCATTTTAGGAGTGAGTGGGAGGACTGACTAGAAGCAGTCACACTGGAGCTGCCAGCAAGGGTAAGATAAGAGAGACTGAGTAGGAAGACCTTGTCAGTTGCTACACCACAGCCAGTCCACCCTTGGCCACAGCCCCGAGGTTATCATGTGTTGCTTATTTCACAGTTTACTGCACTGTGTGCTCCTGCACACACTCAGGCTGATGATCAGCATAGTATTGTGTTCATAAACACCAACAAGGACATACATCACGTGGTAACAGTAGCTGCCATTTATTAAACTTAGTCTGCCAGGCTTCATTTTCAGTTGACACAGGGCACTAGACATAAACACTATGATGTCCGCTTTGCAAAGGAGATGTTCAGGCCAAGGAAAACTGACTGGCATATCCAAGTTTACAGATAGTAATTAGAAGATTTAAGAGCTGATCCACATGACCTATAGTCCATGCATCTTTTACTTTAAACCATACTTGCCAATGAATCCCACAAATCATCCATTCAGTGAGATAGTCACCAGACATAGGAGGTTATTGAAATTTGTAAATAAACTAAAGTTTTCAGATAGTTACATTCATGGAGCTTAATTTTGATTCATTATGTTAAAGTTTTTGAGTTTTAAATGTAAACAACTTAAAATTTTCTCAGTCATAATAGACACTTTTCAAGTGCTCAAGTAGCTCTAAGTGACTGATGGCTGCTCGGTCAGTTGATGGCTATCCTGCCGGCTTTAAAACATAAAACAGCAACAACAACTAATTTCCATCATCACAGAAAGCTCTGGGGGACAGGATTAACCTTCATGTATTTGTCTGTATGTCATCAATTAAAGCAGAATTCTCTGTGATTGAATTTCCTAAGTAAAAGTATTGAACCCATCTATGCTAACTGCTGTGATGGAATTGTTTCCTAAAGGCATCATCTGTGTCTCCGCCCTCCTTCATCAGCAGGGCATGCTGTACTAAAGGCCACTGGAAGGCATGCAGGGTGAGAGGTCCCTTTCCAGGGAACACATGGACACTATGGGGCCTGTGCTTCTACTCTTCTCTCTGACATCTCTACACTGCATCTTCTTTTCTTGCTTCATTCCCAATACCTGCTTGACACTGGCCAAGTGGTACTTACTACCTACTGCCCAGAGCCTGTGTCCAGGTCATGTGATCATCCTGTGGATTGTCCTTTTCTAATTCTGTGTCTCTAAACACAGTTGCATTTGGTGTCCATAGAGGATTGGATCCGGGACCCTCCCAGATATCAAAACCTGTTAGATGCTCAAATTCCTTATATAAAGTAGTATAGTATTTTCATATGACCTAGGCATGGCCTCCTCTAAACTTAAAATCATCTCTGTGTTATTTCTAATACCTAGTGGTATATAAATAGTAGTTATACTATATCATTCAAGGAATGATGTAAGCAGCTGTTAATATGGCTTAAGGAAGGTTCTCTGTGTTATTTGTAATGCCTCATGCTATGTAAATAGTTGTTATACTATATTAAGAAATGATGAAAAGGTCTATACTTGTTCAGCATGTATGTAGTATTTTCTGAATATTCATGATTTCTAATTGGTTTAATCTCAGAATATAAAGCCCGTGGATATGGAGGGCTGAGTGTACGACTAATTTGTGACTCCAGAATCTCTGACTTCCGCCATTTTTTTTTTTTTACAGATCTTTAGAGCAATGTATTTCTCTAACTGTTTACTAGAAGAGTCTATTCAAAGAGCTGTCCACTGCCCGCAGCAGTGGCCTGTGAATTGTTTGTGATTAATATAACAAGAACTTACAATGTGAAAGCCTGCATTTAGAAATTGTTATAACACATTGACAGTACCTGGGCTTGCACTGTATTATCTGTAAAATGATACACTATAAGGAATTAGAAATGTAAAATATCCTGTTTACTAGAAGAGTCTATTCAAAGAGCTGTCCACTGCCCGCAGCAGTGGCCTGTGAATTGTTTGTGATTAATATAACAAGAACTTACAATGTGAAAGCCTGCATTTAGAAATTGTTATAACACATTGACAGTACCTGGGCTTGCACTGTATTATCTGTAAAATGATACACTATAAGGAATTAGAAATGTAAAATATCTGTGCCTAGTGATGCAGGCTTGCAATCTCTTCTACCTGGGATGCTGAGGCAGGAGGATCACAAGTTCAAGGCCTGTCTGGGCAATTTAGTGATGCATTGCCTCAAAGTAAAAAGTAAAGAAGTGGAAATGTAGGTTACAGAGCATTTGCCTAGCATGTGGGAGGTCCTTAGATCTTAGCTTCCTGATCCGTAATGCTGTGAAAAGAAAACAGAAAGGAGAAATCAATTCCCTACTTTAAAATAAACA